CCAGCGCCAAGGGGCGCGAGACCGCGCTCTGCCCGGCCCCTGCTTTCGCCGCCCAGGCGAGCGCTTCTGCAAATCCTCTCCAAAGCGCTTCAGGAGGCAGGCAGGAGCTGATCGACTTTGTGGGGAGGGAGGGACGTGGGAGGGGAGGGGGCCGCGCAGCTTTGCAGCAGAGCGCCGATGAATGGAGCCTTTGTGCTCGCTGCTGCAGCGCCGTTACCACGTCAACCTTCAGCGGAGGAAGAAAACGGGCCAGCTCCGCTCCCCCCATCCGCCAGACCCCGGCTCCCTTCATGCGCTGCCTTTTGTCTGGGCCACCCCAAGGACTCGACACGCAGCTCCGCAAATAGCTCCAGATCTGGGTCAGCTCGTACGGCCGAAGCGCTTTTCCCCGGGTGCGGACACAGCCCCCCGCGCGCCGGGGGTGGCCGCGTTTGTATCGGGGTGTCTGGGAACAGGGCACTCAGGGGCCCTTCAGCGGGTTCCTGGGAGCAGCCAGACACTTCACATGCCCAACTATTTCCAGTCCCCAAAGAGGATAAAAATGTGCTCTCCCCCAGTCCTGCACACAGAGATGTGAAACCCCCTAAGCAAGACCTCTGCCAGGTAAGAAAGAACTTCCCCACCTCACACTGGGGCAACTTCAGGGGGAAAGAGGGTGATTTTTAGGTAGCATTTAACCTCCATCAGCAACACTCGAGTCCCTTTAGGGCTGCCTTTGATAACCAGCTGCTTTCAGAAGCGGCCAGCAGGTCCTCAGTACGCAGCCCATGCTACACAGGGATGCCGGAGCCTGCTGCGGAGCTCTGCTGGGGACGGGATACGGCCGCAGCGCTCGCGCATCAGCGAAGAACTGGCTTTACCTTCAGGTCCGTGTTGAGAATCCAGATGAACGTGCAGACCCTGGGGTTGCTGGGACATTTCAGTACGATGAATCCTCCGGGCCCGTTCTCACCCCTGCAGGGAAGCAAGAGCACAGAGTCAGAGCTGGGGCCGGCTGAAGAGCCGTTCTCTCATGCTCTGGGGTGCAGCGCACCGATCCTGCGCTAGCTCCTGCAGCAGCAGCCACCCCCTCCGCCTGGCAGCGAGGACTAGAGCCCAGCGGGGTAAGAGCAGATGTGCAGAGCGCCCGGGAAGGTATCTGCTTTGGCTGCAGGCACACGAGCAAGCGCAGCAAGGCAGGTTTCCCACAGGTGCCTTGGCAGCACTGGTGCCAGGGCTGCCGGCTGAGAAGCAGCCTCTGCCTCCGGACCGCGCCAGCCCCGCCGACACCGGCTCTTCACCGCGGGGAGGTTTCCGAGGCACAACCCTGTGGAAATGGATGCAAAACGAGAGGTCCCAGGAAAGCCAAGCGGCCAGGGAAACCCTGCGCAGTCAGGACAGGCTCGGCGCAGGGAGCCTTGTCACTACGGCCCCCAGATCCTTCTTCACACCGTCTGATCTGTCTCAGAGACGAGAGCTGTGCTCACACACACAGCCCAAATACAGATTTTTCCCTTCCCTGTTCAGGAACACACTATTTTTGCTGCATACATTTGTAAAAAGATTTTTCTGGGCCCTGAAGTCCCCAGCTCTTAAATAGACTGAGGCAGCTATAATGGCTCAGAGTTAAAACGTCAATTACTTTAACCAGATTATTAGGAAAAACAAAGTCAGTGCGCGAAGTGGCACAGCTGGGCCCCAGGCACCGGAGCAGACAGTAACAAGGAGTCCTTGTTTGATGAGACTAGCCCTGCTGAGATCCATCGCCAGCCGGGCGAAGCCGTCCCTTTGGAAGGGCAGAGGCCAAAGACCTGCCGACACTTTGGGAGCCAGTCCATCCTGACGCAGCTCGTTTCACCCACAGGACCATCTCTCAACAACCGCAGCCTTTAAAGTCAGTAAGTGACTGGCTTGCGAGAAGCAAAAGACATCCGAGAGGCTGAAAGCGAGCCACAGTCAGCTGTTTACTGCCCCTCAGAAACGGCAGCTGGCCCTGTTTGGGAATTAACTGTTACACAAACAGGATGCGGACTGGGTTGGGGTTTGTGCTGTTACTGGTCAGCACCTCCACTCCCCTGAGCAGAGAGCTGGGAAACGCCCGAGCAACACCGAACAGCACGGAGAGTTTCTTTAACAAAGGAAGAAGAACAAGGGAAGCAAGGTTTAGTTCCACAAATAGATTAGCTTCCTGCAAACGCTGCCAGAAAGACAGCAGGGTTTTCATTTAAGTGGCTCTTTGCCCTAAGCTTAGGCAAAGTGCGTATGTCAGATACCAGCTAAAAAAAAAAAAAAGAGCCTGCCTCTTACCTGACATACTTGGAGAGCGGAGGCTTCAGGCTGTGCGTGGTCGACATCCCTGAGGACATGTACCTGTCTCTTCTTCTCTCAATCCGGCGCACGTTCACGAAATCCCTAAGCAAAGAAAGGGCGCTGACTGCTTTAAAACGTGCATGGGACTTTGAAGGAGCAGATCCCGCTCTCCGGACCGCTGGGAAAGGCTGTGGCAGGGGTATGTCAACATACGGACAAAGCACAGCACAGCACTGTTATGAGGGAGACCGACCGACTGACTGAGACAGGTTTTGAGCTCCCAGACTCCTGCCAGAAACATCTGGAGGAGAATTCGGAGGCTCCTTGCCTTTGGGAGCATCACCCGCGCAGCCAGCCAGCCCTGCCGCGTTGACGCTGGGAGCTCGCAGCCAGCGAAGAGCGGCAGCGCTGGGGCAGAGCACTCTCACTACGGTCAGATGCTTCTCTCTGTATTTTAGGAGGGTGTTTAGGGGCCCAGTACGAAACAGACAGTGGAATAAACTGACCTTGGGGAAACGACACCGCCTGCAGCCCCAGCTGCCACGTCGTACGAGACAATTGTGTTGTCTTCAATCCGCTGCAAGATCTGGCGGGGGGGGAAAAAAAAAAAGAAAAGAGATTTCTTCAGACTGTGCCTGCGGGTCTGCATGTGCCAACAGCTGGGTGATAAGACGGACTCTTCCCTAAAACAGCACCAGGATCCAAAGCAACCGGCGTGTCTTTAGCAGCTGAGCTGAGGCTGAGGGGGACGAGCTCTTTGGCAGTGCGTGCACAGGTTTGTCTCCTGCCCTGGGACTGGTCTCTCTGCCTTTTGGGAGGGGGGGCACAGGCATTGCCTCCGGATCCCCACCACACCAATGCACAAAACGCCCAATCCCTACCAAGCAAAAGCAGGCTTGGCTCCGCCGCTGGCCCATCTCCCTGCCCACCTCATGGGCTTTTGGATAGGCGCATGCATGCAGCTGGCGACCGCAGAGCATTCGGATCGTACGGATGAGCGGTGGAGATTTAACGCCTCAGTGACTCGGATCCAGCTAAGCTCCAGTAGGGCCTGGGCACCGCCAACAGCCGGTGTTGACTGGGAAGCTCCAACTCTCCGCTCCAAGGAGCTCCTGTGATTAAGCCATCTTTGTCCGGCACGCTCACCTGGCAAGCTGCCACTGTTCTGTTCCACAGGATCATCTTCTCAGGCTGGAGAATAACCTCCTGGTAAACTGTTTCAGCAGAGCACTGCAGGAAAGCCTGAGGACAGAGACAGAGCAGTCAGCCAGTCCCCCGCTCCACTTTGGTTAAGATCATTTTTAAGGAACACAGGGCAGATCACAAAGAATAACTGGGGTAATACAGGAGGGGAGTGGCGAGGCTGGCCTGGCTCAAGCACGCGCAAAGCCAAGGCTGTCACCCCTCTGCCACAGAGCTCTCGTTCCCAGGGGCCTGGAGAGCACACGGGGGGTCAGAGAGGACAGACCAGAGCTCAGGTTTCGGCAGTCGCTGCGCCGCTGCCTGCCGCGGTCCGTGCTGGTGTAAGAGAGGGCGAGCGTCTGTCTGTAACACGGCGAGACAGACGGACCTTGGGGCTGACTCAGGCTGGCTCCTCTCCCACCCTCACCCCACTTTATCAGCAGTTCTGCTGCATGTGCAATTGCTTCGGGAAGTTGCTGAAAAGCTATTCTGAGCTCCAGCACAGCCAGCGTTCATCTCCACGTCGTCCCCGTGGGACAGAGGATCTTTGGAGGCAAATGGTTAATGCAGTAAAGTGGGACCATCCAGCTTTTTCTCGCGAATACAGAGCTGCTCCATCGGCAGCTCCTGCCAGCGAGGCAACATATGCACTGGAACAAAGAAAAGCCACCGCAGCACCAATGCTTCATTAAAGCGTGGTTTACAGCCAAGCCACTCCAGCGAGAGGGCACAGAGCAAGGCACTTCCGAGCAGCTCTTCTCCATGCCAGGCAGCAGCAGACGCACGCTCAGCCCTGGTCTTGCTGGCAATTAGTTGCAATTAGCCTCCTTGGTCAGATTAGTCCTAGATGCTGGGGTTGGAAGCAAGTCTTGCAGTCACCTGCTCCCACTTCTACCAGCAGAGACTGGGGCCCAGCATATTTGCTGGGGAGTCTGTCTGCCAGCCAAGGGGCTTTCCTGGAGAGACTCCCTAGAGCGTGCAGTGCAGTTCATCTGTCTCAAGCAAAGGGAGTGTGCTTTGCAGCCTGACCTATCCTGCCAGGGCCAGGAGAGAGCATGAAAGCTGAGCCATGGCTCCAAGCAAAGCAGTCGCTCTTCGCCTGTACCACAGAGGCAAGGAAGTGATCCAGGAAGGTTCTTACCTTTAAAATAAAGGTCTTGCCATGGAAAGGTATTTCAAAAGTGTAAACAACATCACCAAAGTCCTGTGCAAGAAATAAGAAAGTTACATTTATGTTAGCAAAACAAATCGCTTCTATCTGGGGTGAAGCCTGCAGCCTGCAAACGCTGCGGCTGCAGGAGCCGTCCCGCCTCGCATCCCATTCCAAAGGACTCTCTCCAGCCCTCAGCTGTCCCCCGTCCCCCCACACCAAGCAGGGACCCCAGCACGGGAACTGCACTGAGCACTTCTCAGATGCACATGCACAAATTTCTATAAACAACACAATATCCAGAGCGGCAGCAGTGATGAGACAGAAAAAGAATCCGCCCGATGCCAGCCTGCAAACTCCACGTCAAGGTCAAATTCTCTTTGTAGCGAGCTACCAACACCAGGGTAAGAGAAAGGGGTTAGTTTGCCAACACTGCTGTTGTTACCTACATCTGAGAAGAGACTCCCTGGAGGGGTTGGGGATGGACAGATGATAACCTTTCATCATTAGCCCTGTGTTAAACTCTGATTAGTCTATTTAAATCCATCCCCCTTTGGATAAAGAAAACAATCTGCCCAGCTAGTTTGGCATCAGACAATGGATCACTTGACAGGGGAATTTTAAACACCAGATGAGACTGCAGTTTGCAGGACTCTCACCCCAATCGCATTGCGAGCCCACAAGCAGAAAACAAGATTGGTTTTAGGGGGCAGAGACACTGTCGCTTTCTCTCCACCCTTTGGAGAGAAAAATGAGCTCTAGGTACCCCAGAAAACTCTACTGTAGCTCAGGGAATGAGCCAGCATGGTGAGGAAAGGGGCAGGGCAGGGCCCACTTTGCTTCGTGCGCCTTGTGCTGCCCGAAGCAAGAAGCGCGCCTTGCAGACCCCTTTGGCAAAGCCACAGTGGAAAGACGTAAGGCAGAGACACATCCCCAATTTACACTCCAGCACCCACAAGGTCCCTGTCCTGGGGAAGCGGGGACACAATCAGCTTTGGGGGTGGGAGGAGCAGTCTGTGACCCACACTCTCCTGCTCCCACGTGGGCCAAAGCTGGCCAGAAAGGCCAGACCCCAGCTTGGCTTGGTCTCCCCAGGACACTCAAAGGCACCTTGCTGATGAGCAAGGGCAGAAGCTGCAGCGACGGGGCGCTCCAGCACGGCCGC